CCAAACTGTCTCCCACTCTGTATGGGCATGAACATGCCACTTTCCCTTCCCTGATCTTCAGTTTTGCCACCTGTGGAAGGAAATGTTCGGGTAAAAAACAATCTTTACAAGTCCTTATCTCTGTTACGATGACAACAGGAGTAAGAACAACAAGAACTGCGATTGCTTTGAGCTGTTATTGCGTGCCAGGCATTTTGTAATTGACTCCTATGCAGTATTTTATTTGAAATTCACACTAATGCTATAAGTTAGATACTGTTATTATTTCCATTTTATGTAAGAGAAAATAGACATAGAATGTTAAGGAGCTTGTCCAAGACAAGCAGTAAGTGAGGTGTTCCAAGATTTAACTCTAGGCAGCGTACACACAGAGCCCAGGCTCCTAACCACTGCATTATATTATTGCTCATTCAGTGGCACCACTGCCAGATGGTGTGGAGTAAGTGTTATTATAAAGCCACAATACATGTGTTGAATTTCACAGATTTGCATTTGTACATCGAGAAGCCCCAGGCCTATCTTAGTACTCCCTCACTAGGTGAAGAAGAACACTGAGGGGTTACTTCATTCACCTGTCTCCATCTCCACTGCATTTAAATTTTCTGAAATAGAGTGCCAAGAAAAGCAATCTTTCAGTTTACTTTATGAGTTTGTTCTTGTATTTAACAGCCCTTCCTGTTGTCAGATTACAAGCTGTAGAAAGTCAGGGACCATTTCTTTTATTGTCTCATTCCACAAGCCCATAGAGCTAAGAGAGTGGCAGGAATTCAATTGCGAATTGAATAGCATTGAGAAATCTCACTTTCTAACACTATCATCTTAAAACCTTCTCTAGGAGGCAGCATAGCATAAAATAAAAGGTATGGTTTTGGAGATAGAAGGATAGAGGTTCAAATCTCAGCTGTCTCTACCTCACTGCAGTCTTAACCTCAACTTTACCATGGGAATGATAAAAATCTGCCTTGTTAGGTTGCTGTGAGGATTAAATGGAGAAAAGAAAAGTGAAAAGTATGTACTAAATGTCAGTCCCCCTCTTAATTATTTTCATTTGAAGGTCATTATATGTGTATAGTACAACTAGAATTGAGCACTAAATAGTCTCAAAATGATCTTGATATGACTAGTCATACGCCAAGTTATCCAGTTCCTTCACTTGAATTAAAGCTATAATACTTCAATACTTTAAAACTTAGAACTGTGCCAGTATTACTGACATGACATGTTTATGGGCTTTTCTCCATGGTCCAAACTATTATGAAATTCATGGAAATATCTAGAAAGCTATGCCCATTTGAGAATGAATGTCAGTCATTTTTTAGTTTCAAGAAAGTTACCACAGACTGCAAGCACACTGAATTGTGAAGAGCCAACTCTTTCAATGGCTCTCTGGAAACAAACTGAAAAGAATACAGACAGATCCAAGCTCAAACAAATATAAGCAGCCAGACTTAGAATCCAGAGAAACGAAGTGAAACTAGATCCTCACCCCATACAGTGAGTAATTCCATGTCTTTCACCACCACCCCCATCCTTTTTCTTGATTTTTCACCCCATACATTGCTCTGGTTTGATATTTACTGGAATGGAGATATTGCTTCTTTATGATTATACTATAGAAGAAACTGACATAGGAGACCTACAGAAGAACTGTGGGATGCCAACATTTGTGATGAATAAAATTTTTATTTGTCTCTTCATTTTCTGGCAAAACCTCTGTTTCTAGGCATCTTTGTATATTTCTAGACTCTTGGCTTTACTGTCTGGACTCCAAACCCATAAAAGAGCTATTATCCCTGGAAAGAAAAAAACAACAACAAAAAACAAGAATCAAAAACACTGAGAGGTTTAAGGATTTGCAACTAATGGTGGAAATAGTATTCCATCCCAGATCTGTCTTTCAATAATAGCAGTTGAAATCTCATATCACTGATATTAACCTCATTTAGATACTTGCTGTGGTGTCTACATGTTAAGTCTATGAGCTGTATATATATATATAAAAGGAAAGCACAAAACAGGACCCATCAAAACTGCTCTATTGGACTATAAGGACAAATGCATTACAGAATTGGCTGAATCCCAGGGCCGTCCAGGTAATTCAGTTAGATAAGTGTTATAAGATTCACTTGTGAGGCAAAGAATGAATTATTATTATTTTTTACATTCTATTTTAAAGATATGGTGTACAATTCAGGGTTAGGTTCATAAGTGGTCATCACATAAGTGAAGTTTGAGCCTCCCCTTGGTCCTCACTTCATCTGGTTTGGGATCAGGTACTCTTATTAATGTTATGTGTTCCCTCTCCCTCTCCTGACAGTGACCCACTACTGCCAATTCCTTTCATGTATCATGATAAATGTTCAGGGTCCACTTATGAGTGAGAACATGTGGTACTCAGTTCTTTGTTTCTGTGATAAATCACTAAGTATGACAGACTCTAAATCCATCCAAATTGCTGTGAAATTCATAATTTTGTCCTTCTTTATGATTGCATGATATTCCATCATGAATATGTACCACTTTTTAAACTCCAGTCCACCTTTGATGGGCAGCATATTTGGTTCCATGTTTTTGCTATTGTGACTAGTGCTGCAATAAACATGTGTACACAGGTATCTTTTTGTAGAGTGATTTTTCCAGGTTTATTTCCAGCAGGGGGATTTCTGGGTCATAAGGAAGGGCGATATTTAGCTTTTTTAGAAATCATTTTCCATAGAGGTTGTACTAGTTTACACTCCCACCAACAGTGTAGAAGCGTTCCCTTCTCTCTATACCTACTCCAGCATCTATTGTTGAGTTCTTAATGGTGGCCCTCCTGACTAGAGTTAGGTGGTATCTCAGTTTGGTTTTGATTTGCATTTCTTGATGATTAGTGAGGCTGAGCATTTTTTTCATGTATCTGTTGACTGCTCGTATGTCTTCTTTTGAGAAGTGTCCATTCATATATTTTGTCTACTTTTTGATGGGGCTGTTTGTTTGTTTTTCCTTTCAGCATGTTCCTTGTAGATCCTGGGTGTTAGGCCTTTGTCAGGTATACAGTTGGCCAATATTTTTCCTAGTCTATGGGCTGTCTCTCCCCACTCTCTTAATAGTTTTTTTCACTTTGCAGAAACTTTTCAGTTTGATGAGGCCTGACTTGTCTATCTTATCTCTTATGTCTTGAGCTTTGGGGTTTTGATCAGAAATTAGTTGCCTGTTCCAATTTCTGTAAGGGTGTCTGTGTCTCCTGCGTTTTCTAAGATGAAAAATGAATTATTTTTAAACTGTGGTTCTTTAAGAACGAAAGTTCTCTTTAAAGGACCAACAGGAAGTGATCTGTATATTCTGCCCAACTGTATAATCTCCCCGGGAGATAAGCATCACAGGGTTCCTGTGAGTCTCAGTCTTCTCAAACATGGAGCCAACATTATTGTTCCTGTGTGATTTCATTATATTGGCATATCCTTAGTCCCAGATAGAGAAAATATACAGTAATTGAACTGGCATCCTTCTCTTGTTTATTACTGGGAATATGAGCAAACAGAAAATCTGAGATCAGGCACAAAGGGAATAAGAGAATAACAGTTGGGAGGCCTCATATAATTTTATACTGTGTGGTATAAAATACCTCACATGTCAGTTTTGCTACTAAATCATCCAGTTTTAGAAATGGAAGGGAACTTAGAGGCCATTTAGTCTGGCTCATTTACTTTATCTATTTTTAAGTAATTTTTATTGATTTTTTTCTTATTGCAAAAGCAATATATGCTTATTGAAGATGATTTTAAAAATAGAGATAAGCAAAAATAAGCTAGAAAAGTGTCCATTATCTCACTCTCCAGACAGAGCCACTATTAAGCATTTGCTTTATTTTCTTCCTTCTGTTTTAAAATCCATGTATATATAAAATATCCACAAAATTGGATTATTCTGTAATAGTTAAATGGTTTTTTAACTTCACAATATATCATACATATTCTTTTATAATGTCTCAAATTATTTTGATGACTATAAAATAATCTATTGCACTATTGAACTCAATTGATACAGCCATTTCTATATAGTTAAACATTCAGTTGTTTTAAATTTTTGTTAGTATAAATAATACTGAAATCTTTGTTCTTCTAACATAGTCTATGTGCACATCTGTATTTTTATTTTATTTTTTCAGTAATCCTAGTAGTGATTCTAACACCTTCACCTTATAGAGTAGAAAACCTAAGCACTAAGTTGGGAAGCTATACAACAAAATCTTAGTCGAACTAACACTAGATCTCAAGATTACAGAGGTTCAGTCTTTCTTTCTAGTCTTCTTTATCAGTTCTCTTTCTAGTAAACTTCAGCTGCTTCCCAAAATCCAATGGCTAGACTGATTTTTAGAAATCTTTGAGTTTGAGTATCACAAACATGTGGCACTTGTTCTTCCCATTCTGTACCCGTGACCTCATCACTAATCAGTCATAAAACATTTTCCTCCTTAACTGGAATGGTCTCTGTCCATCCCTCAACTTAACACTCCATGAATCCAGTACCAGTGCATAATAGTGGCCACTGGACATGAAAACTGTTTTATATCCTTAATTCAATGTCTTTATTACACAAAGAAGGAAAATTCAATTTGAAGAAAGAAGAGTCTTGCTCAGGGAGTTATGAGTCAACTAATGGCACTGCCAAGTCCAGGACTGTCACTCTGGACAGAAAGAAAGTGAAATACCACCCTTGGTTACCTTTTCTTGTATTTTTAATACACAATTATTGACCTCATTTAAGCCTTGCTACAATTGTATAAAGGTAGGTATTAGCATTCCCACCTTACAGGTAATACAATTAATGCGTAAATTTGAGCAAAGAGTCATAAGGGCTAGATACTAATCTGCACCATTTTCATATCTTGTGCTTTTTTTTGTCCACTAATCCTCCTTATAATGGTATCCAGACATTTGATGGGTTTGGATGATGGCAAGAATGTGTGCTCACCAAGACCTGAGCTTGGGAGCTCATCTTTCTTTGTCTCCCTCCAGGAGAATTCCTGAGTTTTGCTGATGACTTGCTCTCTGGCCTGGGCACATCTTGTGTAGCAGCTGGCCGAAGTCATGGAGAGGTCCCTGAAGTCAGTATCTACTCGGTCATCTTCAAGTGTCTGGAGCCCGACGGTCTCTACAAGTAAGACATGTTGGGTGTGTGGGGAGCATGAAGCAAACAGGATGATTTTATGCCAAAGAGAAATGGCATGAGTTATTCTGTCCAGGCCAGCCAAATGTTTTATTAGCCAGACCATATGTGTACCTTGAGATTCTAAGGGTTAGAAGTGTCTTAGAAAATGGCCAATGCAAAGTTAGTGCTGAAGGATCCAAGGAGGCCAGAAATTCAAAACCATTTCCTTCTACTGATGAAAAATCTATAGTCCAGAGAGGGAACGTGTCTTACTCAAGATCATAGATCTTGTTATTAAGGAGGGCTGGGCAGGAATCCCTGCCTACTGCTCTTTTATTCTTCTAAGCTTTCTTATCTTAATAATATTAAATTAGAATATATGTATATACATGTGCGTGTGAGTGTGTTTGTGTATGTGTATATAAAACTGCGGTTGTTAAGAAGTTGAGTTTTATTTACTAGTTATCCAACTTGATTTTACTTATTCACTCAGTGACTCATTCACTCATCTATTTACTGATCCATCTACTAAAACATTCATCTATCCCTCATTCATCCCTCCCTTTTCCTTTCTCCATCCATCCATCCATCCATTTTTCATCCATCCCATTTATCCATCTATCTATTCATCTGCTCCTGTATTTCTTCATTTCATTCACTTATTCATTCACCAGTTATTTTGTTAATTCACATATTTTTTGCTCATTCATAACTCATTTATTTATTCAGCAGACTTTTTCTGAGAATTTCCTGTTATTGATACTGTGCAAAGAGCAGCAGGGATGAAATGTGGCGAAGTCAGAGGTCCTATTCTCTGATAACATATAACCTAATGGTCATATGAAAGACCACACACTATGAATTCGAATCTGTCGTTGACATTATTAGTTATGTAACTTTAAATAAGTTGTTTTTGCCTCTATAAGCCTTAATTTCAACCTTTGTAAAACAAAAATAATAAAACTTAGCTTGCAGAGTTTTGTGAGAATTAAACAAGAAACACCCTAGCTCAGCATCTCCAAATATGTTATTAATTAACTATTAGTCCCTCTACAATCTGTGAACTTCCCTCATCTTGAAAACACAATCTCTCCCTTCCACCTCTTACCCTTAATTACCCTTTTGAACACTTGATATATTCAAGATCCTTGGAATGAGTTTAGTGTACCCAAGGCATTGGTACACTAAATTCATTCCTATCACTGTAACCTGGGAATTGGTCCTTCTAACCCTGGTCCTTCCACTGACTGTCTCTAAGAAATTAGGGCCACAGCTTTATCTTAAGTTACTTGGGGGCAGGGAATGCTCTTGGAACAGAATGCCCGGAGTAAAATGGGTTATCAGATCTCTTCCAGGGGGACATCAGAGCAACTTCACAGAAGAGGCAGGATACATTTCAGGCCTTAAATAATGACTACAGTCTTGATGGTGAGTGGTGAGATTGGGATCCAGATGTTGAGAGCATGATTCTGCAGCCGCTTAATCAGTAAGCACAGATACTGAGTTGGGCGAGTTAGACACACACCTTGGGCTCTAGGATCACCACATCTGTGAAATATAAGTATGTCACTACATTGAGAGCTATATGGTCCTCTCCAACTCTAAAAATTATGATTATGTGTTGGAAGTGGCATTTTCAAACAATTTCTTCTAGTTTCTTTCTAGTTTCTCTGTTGCTCATCAAAGGTATAGATTGGAGGCAGACAGACCTGGATTCAAATCCTTGCCCTGCCTTTTGTCAGCTGTGTGACACTGAGTGAGCTATTCATCCCTCTGAGCCTCCATCTCCCTCTCTGTGAAAATGTGGATAATACAGTGTCTGGTTCACTGGGACTCCAGGAGGACTTGATGAGATAATGTACAAAAGCTCCCTGGTGATGAGCTCCCAGTAGGAACATAAGAAGTGTTAGCTATTATCACAGTTACTGTTGTCGCCTTTGTTATAATTATTAATTTCAACTCACTCTCCACCCATCCTCCAATCAGTGGGAGAGATGGAGAGATAGCATAGCCAAGAGGTACAGAGCCCTGTCTGGTGGTTCTCATTCACTAAGACAGGAGTCACACTGTATCTGGGTGACACTGTAAGGTCTTGGTTTAGTTGGGGTGGAATCCTACAGCCCCATTATGTAGAGAGCAATGAAATGATTTAGGGAACCCCCAAAGCAATTAACACTGAGGACTGACAAATCAACTGCCATCCTCTGAAAGCAATAAACTCTCTCCCTCACCCCTTCTTTTCCTCACTGCCTGACACTACCCCTTCTTCCCACCTCTTGAAAGAGGGAGCATTCTTTCTTTCTCTGTCCTGGAAATATGCTTGTTAGGTGCTTGTCATCCCTAACTCTGAACACTCCTTTATTTCATTTATTTATTTATTTTAGAAATTGATTTTATTAATGGCCTGGGATCTGGGCCACTCTGACCAGGAACCAGGCTGTTGTTTGGAACAGTCTCTTATCCCACTGGCGGCTCTCTTCCCGTGACGTCTGACCAACTTCGTCTGGAGTTTTAAAATAGTTCGGTCAGTTCTTGGGGTTTCTCATTTTCTGCTTGCTCGTTTCTTACCAAAATTTGTTTTCATCCCCATGAGCCAAAAAGGCCACGTGTGGTGGTGGTATGAGTACAGGCTTTGGCGACAGGCTGAGCTGTGTATGAATGCTGATTCTGCTCCATATTAATAACCTACTCCAGGACAGGCTTTTCAAAGCACTATGAAACAATTTCCTTCTCTGGAAAAGGAGGCTGGAAGATGGTAATCGTCTCTATAGAATAGGGTTATAGGGAGAAGACTGAGTTGAAAACATCCACAGACAAGTTTTACCAGAATGCCTGGCACATGGGAGGCCTGCAAAAAGTGTTAACCAATTTTTCCTCTTCCCTTTCATTCTCCTTGACTCACTCCCTGGCTTTCAGTGTCTCTTTCTTCTGGGGACATCCCTGGGGGAAGTGGTCCCTGTGAAGCAAGTTGTGTTCCACTAGCCCTGGAAAGAATGACCAGATAGAATCTTTTGGGGAGGCATAGAATGAAAGGAAAGGATGGATCCAGAGGAGAGAGGGTTCAGAAATAACCAGGCTTTAGTTAAGCATGATTGAACCCCAAACTCCCCATCTATTCTTCTGTAAGGATTCAGGTAGCAGGAGAGTGGAGGACCAGTCTTTCTGCCAGGGTGTCTGGGTCTATGTCATTCCTTCTGCTTCTGGTACCTTGTATTAACTATTATCCTCTCCCTGTTATGTGATTTCATCATCTTTAAACTGAAGGTGCATTTGATCCACCCCAACTTTTGAGTTCTAGGAATGTATACTTTCTTTTTTTGTTGTTTTGAGTTGGAGTCTCACTCTGTCGCCCAGACTGGAGTGCAGTGGCTCCTCCCAGCCACTGCAGCCTCGACCTGCAGGGCTCCAGCGATCCTTTCGCCTCAGCCTTCCGAGTAACCAGAATTACAGGCACGTGCTACTATGCCCAGCTGACTTTTTGATTTATTGTAGAGATGAGGTCTTGCCAAGTTGCCCAGGTGGGTCTCGAACCTGCAGGCTCAGGCAATCCACTCACCTCAGCCTCCCAAGGTACGGGATTACAGACTGAGCCACTGAGCCTGGCTGGAATGTATACTTTCACCATAGAATTCATTCTCATCCTCACTCTCCTCCTCTGAGCTCCTGTCCATCCAATTTTTCTGCCTCTTTAACTTTTGTTTTGCCCTACTGTGTCTCTGTCCTTCTTTGTCTCTCTTTGCCTTTTATTCCCTGAGTAAGTATCTTCTAAATGGCTTCCTATCTTTGTTTGTTGGTCATTCTCCCTATCCTTCCTTCTTTGCCTTTCTACTTATTATTAAGCCGGGCTCGGTGGCTCAGCCTGTAATCCCGTGCTTTTGGGAGGCTGAGGTGAGTG